ATTATGTGCATGATATCAAATGATTTGATTATGAATTTAGATTCAGTTTATATGGATGTTCGATGCATTAGATATGCTTACTCAGCTTCAAAGCTGAGCGTGTAGTATGTTTTATTTGCTACACGCAGGTTAATGAAGTGACGTGATCCTAAAGGCAGACGGAGGCGAGATTGTCGGAATGGATGTGATGGTTTTGAATTAAAGAACATAAATAAATTATGTTTGTGATTATGATTGTTAAGCTTCCGCAATATTGAAAACTCCGTACTGTTTATATTATGAAAAATATTATTGTGATAAATAAAAGTGTTTGAAATGTTTTAAATTTTTACGATTACCAAGTTAATACTTTAATCTGAAAGGGGCTGCAGACCTGGACAGATTAGGGTGTTACATACCTCGTTTTGTGTATCATAAATATACAATTGAGTAAATCATGGCCTTCCACCATCTTGTGGCAACAATGATGTTATGACCACTAAGAGTAAACTGCGGAGCTGCTCAACCGTTGTTCTGAGATGTATCAATATTTCCATCCATATACGTGAATGAAAACATACTGTTGTACTTTCTTAAATTGTACAAAAAATGGGAACTCCTAACTTCACTCCCATTAAATAAATTATAGAGCAAATCTGGAGGTTTCTTTAGCAGAGGCAGTTCAACTTTTCCTTTCATACAACAAATCGAAAAGTCGGGATTTTCTGATTCTCTACTTTTTCAGCTCTTTCTCCATACCATAGCAATGCTCCACAGAAGTCACATTTAAATGTGGGATCTCCAAAATCAATTATATCTACACAGGAATAATAAAATATGATATAGAAAGTTGTTTATAAAGATTTAACATTTTACACAAATTAAATGTCGTACATTATGTAAACATACCTTTAATTTCAGCTTCTCCAAATGCAAGATTATCTAAAAAGGGTTCTGCTGATGTATATTGAGTAGATAAACCTTCAACACCAACATTTTTTTGTATTTAAAATATAAATGTAGTGTATGATTCCCCATATGGAGGTAGTTAGTATTTCAATATATTTTTAAAAGCACTATATAAATAGTTTAAAAAATTCAAAGAGTTTTTAAGCAATCTCCTTCCATGTACATATTTAACAACTAAAAGAAAATCATTGATGAAAAAAAGAGTTATACCTCGGGGTGACCTTGAAAACATGACTTGAGCAGTGCGCACAGTAGTACATTGCACCATCAGGTTTAACATGTCACAACCCGGACCGCAATCCGCTGTCATGGCAACCGCCGTACAACCCATTTAAGAATAACTGTAGTCTACTCTTATTCGAATTATACAAGGCATTAGTAATCATAGCACATCCATAAGTAAATATCAAAAGGATATATTTAGAATCTCAGAGTTTAGCGGAAATACAAATTTTAATCTAAAAGGCCGGGTAAAAGAAAATTGAGCGCGCAGACTCCAAGTGAATTGTTTCAAAATCATGAGCATAGTCTAGCATTGAAAATCACCATTTCCTCGGATCAAAATAGACTTTAGTCCTTTGGTTGCTTCAAACAATATCCAGCAAATCTGCAATCTAAAAAAATGTTTTGGGAGGAGGGGTCAGTACAACGCCACATCGTGTACTGGTGAGGAGCCACAAATTCAGACTATTATATTTTATCACATAATCACAAGGGTTAAACAAAAATGATTTGTTATTACTTTTAGAGTCAAGATAATAAATTATCCCGTAACTTACGTCATCATATTCCAAAATCTATTTTCAACTTAATACCATAGGTATGAAAGTTTCAAAACAATTTAAAATGAAGATTTAATTCTTCAGTTATCAAAACTGATATCTCGTTCATGAGAACAACTGTTTCAAAGGAGACAGATTTAGAAATCTTCTTCTTTTCTTTTTAAATCGTACAATCTGATGGGGAGCCCCTCTTTTGTGCTCAAGCTAACTGATCAGGTTATCTTAGAACACCCGCCGAGGTATCTGTCTTAAAAATCAACAATTTCATTTTCACACTAAAATGAAGAAACTAATCCCGCAAGATTAATCTTCCTTTTTCTTGTCATTGGAAACATTAGGAAATTCATGGCTAAAGCCTAACCCTATCCCCAAAGACCTCGGCGTTAGGGCGTGTTAGTCTTAGTGGTGGCGCTAAGCCCTAACACTTGGGAGGTACTCAAAAGTAGCTCCTCTTATTTGTGGGCTAGGAAGCAATCACGCATGACCCTTCCTACCCATCCAATAATAGCATCCAGCACCCGGACCTATTATTATTATGCGTCCACTTAGGGAGGCACTATAAAACAATCTACGGCCGAGATTTATCCACCGATGGCTCTAAAGCCATATACCTAAGGGTCCAACTAATAATAGCATCTCAGTATAAAATACGAAGATCTATTATTATTCTGTATCCAAAAAGAGACAATATATTCTATACCAAGATTTAGTATATGAGGATTTTGAAATCGTAGCATAAGAATTTGTAAAAAAAACAAGTGTCCAATTTATAAACTTTTGGAAGTTTTGGAATGAAACTTTGTATTTTATTAAAACACATCTATAAACAATTATAGCCCAAAGTAGTATAAGACCCATTACACAAGGACCCAAAACTCTACTCTTTCCTTTTTATTAAATTATTCCTTACTAGATTCATACCCGAGCGATGCACGGCGAGAAAGTTTTCAAATTTTTTATAACGTAGCTAAAATAGATGTTAATTGCTAGAAATATAGATTTGTAGAGTAATATTGTCATAAGAATAGTTTTCAATATGATGATCGACATCTTTGAGTTTACCACTATAATTTAAAAGAATATTACTCCCTCCGTCCCTGTAACACCCTAATCCGTCCAGGTTTGCAGCCCCTTTCGGACTAAAGTATTAACTTGGTAATCGTAAAATTTAAAACATTTCAAACACTTTTATTTATCACAATAATATTTTCATATCATAAACAGTACAGAGTTTTTAATATTGCGGAAGCTTAACAAATCAAACATAATTTATTTATGTTCTTTTGTTCAAAACCATCACATCCATTCCGATAATCTCACCTCCGTCTGCCTCCAGGATCACATCACATCATTCTTTTTATCAACTTGCGTGTAGCAAATAAAACATATTACACGCTCAGCGGTAAAGTTCTCATTCGTATAGATTACGCAGCTTGTGGGTATATTTGTCTTAGAGTTAAGTATTAGTTTAGTGAACTATAGTACGTGTATTACAAGTCAAGTCTATAAGTTATTAGTTATAAGTTAAAAGTTGTAAGTAATAAGTTATAAGTAGTAAACAGTAAGTTGTTATAGGAATTTGACAAGGATCAGATTCCGGTTAGATAATTACCAACTCTTAAACGAATTCTAGTTTAATATAAGTAAACTAAATTCCAGTTTAAGGAACTCCTAAATAATCCTTAAGCTAGGCCTAGTTTAAGATGAAGGGTTTCCAAAATCTTAAACTTACCTTCGATTAAGGTCAACCAGAAACCGAACAGCGGAATGCTCACTGTCGGGTTGGGTGGTATCCCCAAACGAGTTCCTCGAGTTTGGTTTGTAGATCCCGTACGTACGTTTTAACCCAGGCCACCGAATATTCATAATTATACCCGCAAGGCCCATTTCTAAGCTATCTTAGAGGTCTTCTAGATAGTCTTAGAAACCAAAGTCAACCTAGGTACATCTTAGAGTTCTTCTAGATATCCTTACAATCCAAATCATTTTATAATCATCAACATATTCATTTCAATTCATAATTTAATCCTTGATAATCATTTTAAACACTGGGTTCCTCAAGCCATAATCATCATAATAATCATTCATCATAATCATCAATCAACATAACATTTGATAGCAAGTAGCGGCCTAACTTCGATAGTTAACACCCGAACTTACCGTCATGCATCACATAACATTTTATTTGTCAAAAACATCTTTTTTATTGTGATAAATCATTTTTATAATGATCATAATCAATTGGTATCAAAAATAGGATTTTAGAGCTCAAAAATAACATTTTAAGACAAATTTTCGGGTCAGAGCTTCAAGGGAACGATCCAGCCCTCTGGATCGATCAAACTAGAAGAAAAACTCCCAGATGATCGATCCAATGAAGGGGATCGATCCACTCTGTGGATTTTCAGCCACTGTTCATTCGTCTTCAACCTCGGTCCATTTTTCGGAAAAACCATTTTTAGTCACCGAACATCAATTAAACTATATAGAGATGTTCTCCAAGGTTCATAGATCATTTTGGCATTATTAATTCATAGTTTTAACATCAATTTCATGGTTTATGATTCTTGGTTCTTCAAGCATGTCAAACACAAAACTCAACCAAATGACCGTTTATGAACGTAGAAACGATCTATACGAACATTCTAGTCACTAGATATATCAACGGGCTTACCTTGAAGCGAAAGGGAGGTTTTGACGATTTTCCGCCGAAACTTCCGGCGAGGTTTGTGGCTAGCTCCAGCGGCTTCACACCAAATTGACAGCACCACTACCCTCCTTACACTCTTAGGAACACTTAGGAAGAAGTTTGAAGATGAATGGTGAAGAAATGAGAGTTTAGCTCTCTCCTTATATTGGGAAGATGAAGAAGAAGGAAACAAAGTCTGAGTAGATGCTGCGTAGAAAATTCACGTTCTTCTTTCGGCGATAGTGCGACTTAAGAAGACTCAGCACGTTACTCTCTGATTGGGACTAATTTGGTATCAGTCGGGTATAATTTTTGGTCCAACTTTCTTCGAATTGAAATCCGTTTGCACCGTTGTGATTGTGCAATTAAACTCTATCTAACGATATAATTTTTATATTTATTTGTTATACTTTTTCCGACATCATATTTTTGGGTGGTTGACTTTAACAGAGTTAGAATTGATTTGTTTGACCTTTACTCAAAAAGGTGCTCATATTCAATTCATATTATTTATTTCCATGATTGATTTCAATAACATTTCAAAGTTCACATTATAAAACAATTTCTTCATTTATTCTTAATTTGCGTCTGTAGGTAATTTGAATCCATTTTACTGTACGTATTTTGGCTGGTGATAATAACCTTTCCCTCAATGGTCAGGTTTCACAGGCTATATATATCATGATTATGGAAAAAGTATCTCAAATTCTCGTATTATGGAAGGAACTTCACGAACACTTCCTTACACTATAAGATTCATTGGTCTACTTGGCAGTCATTCCCTTGGTAGAAATCCCAAGTTTATGGCTACTGCGGTAAATTTAGGAAGGGATTTAATAAGGCGAAAGATTAAACTTTCCTATGGAGGAGGTAGTGTTGGCCTTCAAGGAGCTGTTGCTT